TTCCCCCCCCCCCCCCCCCCCCCCCCTCTGCCTGTGCAGTTCTACGGCTACCTCTCTCAGCAGCAGAACATGATGCAGGATTATATTCGGACTGGAACATATCAGCGTGCAATCCTTCAGAACCACACTGACTTCAAGGATAAGGTACCGGCACGGGTTTGGGTCGCATCCATGTCCCATCGGACATCTGCAGCGTCTGCATGATGTTTGAAAGGCCTCGTCTGATACTTAGCACATCAGGAAGGAACAGGCTGCCTCTAGTGGCGTGGACTGGATCTACAGCCACTGAGCTGCTGGCTGCCTCCTTCATCTGACCCCTGACCCAGAAAAAATAATCACATTTACTGAACAACATGTACAAGTACTGAACAATCTGAGCAAGTCTTCTAGCGAGCAGACATATCAGGCTGCTTCTGTCTTGCTTGGGGGTGAATGCATTTCTCCTCTTGCCCCCGGTGCCTTCTTCCAGGTGGTGCTGGACGTGGGCTGTGGCTCTGGGATTCTCTCGTTCTTCGCTGCTCAGGCTGGGGCCCGGAAGGTCTACGCCGTGGAGGCCAGCACCATGGCGCAGCACGCGGAGGTTGGCGCGCACAAGCACACACACGCACACTCACCCCCTGCCGTCGGCGATGGCCGGGCTGACTCCGCCCCCCCTTCCACCCAGGTGCTGGTGAACAGTAATGGGCTAGCAGACCGGGTGGTGGTGATCCCGGGCAAGGTGGAGGAGGTGGCCCTGCCCGAGCAGGTGGACATCATCATCTCAGAGCCTATGGGCTACATGCTCTTCAACGAGAGGATGCTGGAGAGCTACCTGCACGCCAAGAAGTTCCTCAAGCCCAATGGTAGCGTACAGCAGCGACTGAGGCCTGGTCCTCACACTGTCCTTGCTGACACTGGCACCTCCAGAGATGCCTGGGCTGATAGTATAGTTGGTTCAGCCATTATCTCTGTGCTGAATGTCAGTCCTGTCTACTGACATTATAGAAAGTCTCTGATGGAACGGTGAGCTTCAAAATGTGCTTGAACAAACCCCCCCCCCCCCATGCAGGTAATCTGTTTCCCACCATCGGTGATGTGCACCTGGCCCCCTTCACAGATGAGCAGCTATACATGGAGCAGTTCACCAAGGCCAATTTCTGGTGAGAGCCTGGGAGGGGGGCGGTCGCATGGAGGGAGAGGAGGATGTTGTGAGTTTGGGTGGAGATGGGGCTTCCTGAGCCTGCCTGCTGGGGTCTGATGTCCTGCTGGGTTGGTGGCTTTTTGAATTAACACATTTGGGTGACCTGGAGCCGCATGTATGGGGACTTGTTGTCCAAATGACACGACAGGAAGCGCTGAGCCCAACTGAACCCCAAAGAACTCTGGGAGCTTTTCATGACCAAGCTGTAGGACCCCTGGCACTCCCCCGTAGAGTGTGATAATTTAAAACATTGAAGGATGCACGACTTACGATTGAAGAGGAATCCCCATAGAGTTGTGAATTTCAGCGACGTACAAATCCTACCCTCGATTCCCCTACTGAATTGGGATATGAGTTGTTATAGGAGGCCATCTGATCTGATTAGGGTGGGGGAGATAGACGCAGGAGGACCGCGGCTATGTGCTAGGAGCGGGCTAGCCCTCACAAAATCTAATGCTTAAGGGCTGCTGCTTCTCTGCACTTAGTGCTCGTGTTCTGTGGCTGCTGCTGTTTGATTGGTGATGGGGGTGGGCAGTTCGCTCAGCCGAAGCTGCTGATTGGTTAACCTTTCTGCCTGTCAGGTATCAGCCGTCTTTCCACGGTGTGGATCTCTCAGCCCTGCGAGGTGCAGCTGTGGATGAGTACTTCCGGCAGCCAATCGTGGTACGAGCCTGCGTGATTGGGGCGGGGCTTGAGCTTTATGCTGTCATGTCAGTCATGGAGTTATTTATGATGCCCCCAGCCATCTTGTAATGTTTGTCCACTCTCACCTATTCA